AATGAAAAACCAAGTTAAAAAAAAAAAGGGAATTTTACAGAAACAGAAACAGTATGCTATCCAAATTACAGTTTGGGGTGAACACACTACCTAGAGTCCTTGGTAACCTAGGTTAAATTTAGGCATGTTATCTAAATTACAGTTTTGGGTCTAAAACCCTTGGGTACCTGGTTAAATTTAGGCATGTTATCTAAATTACAGTTTTGGGTCTCCAGAACACTGAGTTGACAAGTTAACTGGAGCCCTCTGACCTTGGGATAGCTGTGCTGTCCTTCTCAGGTAAAGGAAAAATGTGTCTTTTAAGACCAGTATGAAACTTATAGTTTTTTCTTGAAATAATTGTTACCATACTTCACTTTACTGTGCCCCAGGTGGTCTCTGGGCTGTTTGTTGTCTGGCTTGTCCTCCTCCTAATCCTCATCTTCAGAGAACTGCTTGGAGTCGCTGCTCTCTGTGGCTGAGGTAGTTGATTGTGTACAGCTACAGGTTATGGTTCCAAGCACAAGGTCCTCAGTCTGGCTAGATCCTCTCTTGGATTCCTGATGCAGTTTAATATTTCTAACAGGAATCCATACGGGTTTGGAAAAATTCTCTGGGAATATACAAGTGTACCCTCTGCCAAAGGTTAAATAGTGGGTCAGATCCATTTTTTAAACCAGATTCGGGATCCTTCCATTTAACTAGACCATTTTCTTTTGATTTATTCTGACACCAATGTAGCTCCATAGGTGTCTTTCCATTAGCATCACAAGTGAAAAAATTTAGGGTAATTAAAGCTAGGTGCAGCCTACCCAAAGGTGATTTCTCCATCATCCCCCTTTTTTGTTTTTCTAGTTGAGATTTCAGTCGTTGATGTTGTCTTTCAATAATGGCCTGTCCTTGGGAATTATATGGTCCATAGGACTTTCGAAAAGGTATCTACAACAGAGACATGTAATGCCCCAAGACGTCCAAAAGGAGTATAATGTGTTACATCCATTTGCCAGATATGGTCCTTAAACAAACCTCTAGGGTTGGCTCCTGTATTAGGCCCTTGAGGTAGATGTAACATGCAAGTGGGACATTCCTTGATAATCTGTTTTGCTTTCTATCGTGAGATTGAGAATAGTTTGGACAACATTTTAGCAGGCTGATGTAAAAGCTGATGAGATTTTGAGGCCTCTTTTAATAAAGCAACCAATTGATCAGCATGTGCATTTCCCTTTGTTAATGGTCCAGGTAATACACTGTGAGCCCTGATATGAGTGATATAAAAAGGATATTGTCTCTGCTGCCCAATCTGCTGAACTTTTTTAAACAGTAAGAATAAATTTTGGTCACTAAGCCATTTCAACCGGGCAGTTTCCATTCTACTTACTA